GAAAACTTTCGTAATAATCGCTACACTTTTTCTTCTTTCTTAAATTCTTCAAAAATTGAATCCTGATTTTATTTTTATACCAGAAATGAAAACAAAGAATTTCTTCGAATTATTTTCAATAAAATCGTCACGCCATCTTCAGGATCTAAATCCTTTAGAATATGTCTTTATTAATCGAGTCGGTGCAATTGGCGCAAGTTTCGTTGGTGTCAGTTTGATGAGTCTTATTAAAATGAATATAAGGATAAGCAAGAAGAGGTTTGGTTTGGTTTGTTTTAAGGCATATCAACTTCAATGGGTCATTTAATACCGACAACTTTTTTTTCCTCTGAATATTTTTGTTTTATAAAAAATCCATTTCTGTTAATATTTTTTTCTCAAAAATGTACAGCTGGTAATATTATTTTTTCAAAAACGTATTATCAGAGGCCTTGCTGTTGGACGTAGTTTATCATCTTACCCAGGACGCGGATGTAGTTTATCGTCATACCCAGGACGCGAATGTAATCTGAGTGTTAACTATTTGCCCACAGCTGGGACCTTAACAGGTGCTACTACCCCGGGTCAAGGTGGACCCGGGAACACCAGCAATCAAGAGGCGGTCCACACTCCTCAACCCCCCCCCCCTGATCAGAGGCCTTGCTGTTGGACGTAGCGGGTGCAGTTTATCGTCATATCCAAGACAGAGCAAGGAGAGGATATGTCCTTATTTGAAATCTATTATTGAACTGCCCAAAATGATTTGAGTAAAGGTGATATCTCCTACATCAGGTCCGGTAAATTTCATTGACACACATGACTTTTCCGCTTGAAAGATAGTTAACATCAAAATCTGTTTTACTTGAACGAGTATGTTTTTTTTTTTTTGTTTTTTTTTTTGCCTTTTGTTCATTTGATTATGACAATAAAGACGGAAACGTGAGCGCGTGAGAGAGAAGAAGAGGGCGAGAAAGAATGAGAGGGAGTGGGTATGTGTGTGTGTGTGAAAGAAAGAGAAGTTTTACATTCTCTATTTCACGCGTCGTTCTGTAGGAAAAATTAGGCGAACGTTTTCTCAAATTATTTCACCATTTGTAAAAAGTACGTTACAGAAATGAGAATAAATGAGGCTTCTTGAAAATGTACATTCATAAGATCTCAAATGATAATGCGACCAATAGTAATACAGGCTGAAAAGACTTGCATTCACCAAAATGTACCTAATGACACCAAACAGATGTGTCTCATGTCTTCCAACCGTGTGCATCATGTTTTAAAAGTTTCACAACTTTAAAGAACTATGTTAAGTTCAAAGCACAACTAAGTCTTACAATATAAATGTCATACTCGACAACTACGTTCGTGCAAAGCACAAATATGTTTCATATAATATATATATATATATATATATATATATATATACATATATATATATTAGTGGTTAATATACACACACACATATGTTTATACATTCTTTTTATAGATACAGATATTTAAGTAAATGCTCTGTTTATAATAAACAGAATTAACGACATTTACCGGCCTGAATAGAAAATATTCATCCTCCGACAGGAATCGAACCAGTATCCTATACGGAACCTTAAATTTGATATAGCATTTCTGATTTGTATGTATAAAAAAATATAAATTTTATTATAAAACATAGCATTTATATTAAATATTTGTATGTATATAAAATATATATATATATATATATATATATATATATATATATTGTACGCATCATACATATGTGCGGAAAGTATCCAGCTAAAAGTTGACATCATAATAATACTGAAGTTGAACCTCATCAAGCTCCACCAAATTGGGGTGAGCATTACCTCGTCTATCTATAAGGGAACGTAAAATCACAAAACTAGTCCGTCCCAACACTCAACAATTTCACAAATCCTTATTTGTGTATATCACTTATCGAAAACTTAAAACCAACACGGAGTGTCGAGTTCGAATATCAGTCGAATTCGTTGCATTCCCTTACGCTTAGGAATGGTATGAATTCATCTCCACCTCCCCCCAGCTATGGGATAAATAGTAGAATTTTTATCTGGCAAAACCAGTGTTATTCTCCAAAGATTGTTAATGTAATGTTCACTCCAAAAATATATTCTTACAATCGAAAATATATTTCGGCTTTAAATAAAACCCACAAAGGGTTGATAAGCCATAAAAAACAAATAACTCAATCAAATTAAAATAACTAATCATATTCTACTGAAACAATAAATATAGTGTTTAAAAACTTTAATAATTTCGCTAAGCCTATGATATATATTCGATGTATTAAAGATATATTTATGCTAAGGATAAAACTTAATAAAATTATAAACCTTAGAGAAACCTCGGCGAAAATATTCCTTCTACATTTCGCATTCATAATAGGAGCTTGACATTTTAGTAAACGCTAACAGTCAAAATTTTGCTACTAGATTTTGTAAAAACATATAGAAAAACCTTTTGTCGTCTCAATAACAAAAGTTAAAGTCTTCATAGATATATAATATCATAACATACTAGAAGCTATTATTATGATTAACAGATCAAAAATAATTTCTTCATTACACAAAGTATTTTATAAAGAATTGGGCAACAGAAATCAAATATTTATCAACAATTTTCTCCCAACCATTTCGTCGACGAGGAAATAAAATTACCTTTAAAGAATTTGAGAAAAGAAAAAAAAAATAGAAAATTAGCAACCAGCCTTGTTAGAAGCTGATTTAATTCCCCTAAAAAGGACAATAACTTAGAATACAATTGAGTTACTTCCCTTGTCTGAAAGTCTGTTGGCAGCATTTATGAATCAAACATGGTAACAAGCTAACACGCACGTGGCATTACATTGTTTCAACTCATGCAATCTTTGTTGCCATTAGAAAAAGTGAATGAATAAAAGTTTTTTGATTATGTGTTAAAATACATTTGTTTTTTATTTTTCTTCGTTTTTGTTCATCCTAACAATCTGAAATAACAATCCTGGGACAATGAAAAACATCATTAATTTATTCCACTACAGACTGAGGATGCCTTAACTATAAACGAGATGAAAGGCCATTAAAAATATAATTCGTTGGTATATATCGCTTAACGATACCAATAAATAGTATACCAATACCAATACCAATAAATATTATACCAATAAGTACTACAGATTTGTCATTTTTTTTATATATAAAAAAACGTTTTAAATGTCTAACCAAATTATTGCCAATAACTCGGGATCTCAAAAATCCTCCGATGTAAAAATAATGTTGTTTATGAATTATTGTGCCGTTTGGGAGATTGCAACTCTGACATTAATAATAATAATTGTTACATTGATCCCACAAGCACCACACTATCTCGAATGTTGACTTGTCACTTATCAAAAGAATACAATTCGTGCACATATCGTCTATCTCTCATTACAAACAACCAGAATGCAATTAGTAATATAAGACAAGTATTAGTAGATAATACGAAAATGCTATACAGCACTCACTTTAAGGAAGGACTGAAAATATTTGAAGCTATTATTATACAAAAGAAACAAATCATTTTAAATATCTTTCTCATCAGGAGAGGACACTTTAAAATGCGTATAGAATATTTCATATAGGTATAAAATAATCAGCAGAAATGCTATGCTACAAAAATTTCCTGAGTCGACCAAGCATAGAAATGAATACAATATGGGAACCAGTAATAAGGAGCACTTCAGAAAAGCAATGAATAACAACAAAAATTGCAATATAAGCTCTGGTAAAATATGCAATAATAATAACAGAAAAAAATTGCAACATGAGCACTGATAAAAAAATGTTTCTGAGATATTATGTTTGTAAATCCCCAAAATTCATAGACAGATGTAGTCAAGGACACATGACCGTTGGTTAGATCCAGTGACTAGACCCAAAGAGTTGTGAGTTCAATAGCACAGTGAACCAAAATTGGAGAGTTAAAAGGAAATAACTGAGACATCCGGGAGAGGTATGGCACGTAGAACTAGAACAATCTACGGTGGGAGAAATAAAGGGTTCGAATCGAAATTCTAATCACCTGAAGAAGGCCGGAGCGTACAACGGCTGAAACGTTGTGAATATGGCAATGAAGATGGGGATAGCAGTTCGAGTAATGTAAGTAATCATAATATTTCATCTCAGATAAAATATTTGATTTCATTTTTCCGTGTTGTCGTGCTCCGTGAAACTGTTCTACGCATAGGTGTCACTTACATGATAAACGTAGATTTGAGTTTGAAACGTATCGTTCTCATAAATGCCAGGATGTAACCAACAAAATATTTTCTACCATATTGACAATACTCAGTTCTTGATTCTGACTAAGATGGTTGAAAGTTTTCGGACAAAAACAGAAGCAAAACATCAATTTTGAACATTTTATCTACAAGTTGGATTCGGACATGCAATAACTTATTCGAAAATGTAGAAAAAATCCATGAAAAAAAGATTAAACAAACGGAGCTTGTCGGTTGAATTTAGATTGAAGTATCGAGAGATTAATGCAACGAATAGAAAATGGGCCACACCTACAATGGCCGCTAAAAACATAAACATTTCTATCGATCACCATCGTAAAATAATGCAAATATTAAGCAGGAGCTTGAGATTTCTTTTACAGAGATGTTCGGAATTGAGAGTTTAAGAAGTACACTTCAATATTTCCAGTAGAAACCATTTGGTCGCTTCGCCGCGTGGAACGCCCAAAAGTTAGTTGAAAACGACATAGACGCACGCTGTCACATTGGAGTGTCACGTGAGGCGCATATTTTTCCAATGGCCCTCACTTTTTTTTTTATACAGATATGGTTTTTCCTCTGCTTTATTTCATTATGTTGAATCTTTATTCTTTAATTTTTCTTTCTTTTATTCTTTTTACGTCCCTTTTCTTTCTTTTTCTTTCTTTCTTTTTTTTTCTTTCTTTCTTTCTTCGTGCGTGATTCCTGCTTCTATCTCGCCAGTTCGATGATTCTGATTAGCCAATCTTCGCCAGAAGAAGGCGAGTTATGTCACGTTACCACGGCAAATGGCACGCAGCCAATCGACAGCAATGAACTTGAGTGACAACAGAAAGAGAGAGAGAGAGAGAGAAAGAGATATATATAGAGAGAAGCAGAATTTAAGAGAGACGTGATTTATGCAGAGAAAAGCGAAAAGAAAAATAGAATTAATAGACAAGTTGCTTGCATGCAAATATTTCAAGAAGAAAAACGGGAACCAAATTTTAACAAGAAATGAGGAAATTCTGTGAATGAGAGAATTGATTTGATCGAGTCGAAGTTGGAGGAAAAAGTTTCACAATGATAGCTTAGTGATAAACGATAGGACTTAAGGTCTGATCCTGCAGAGATGCATGAGTCTGGCACACCAAAAATGAACTTGAGAGGAGAATATGGAGATTTGAAGCCAAATAAAACCGACAGCTTTAAACATCAGCGCTTGGAGTTGATTTTCTGGCGACAGCGGAACAAAAAAAGTTTTACATCGTTTGAAAACTCTGAGAGAAAATGTGTAAATTAGATATTGGAATATTTAGGAGAAAAAAGAGAAGACATGGAAATGAGAGGGAAAGGGTAAAACCGAAGAGAAAGGAAGAATTAAAAAGTGGATGCGTGAAAGAACGAAAGAAAGAGAACTGAAGAAAAGAAAGAAAGTAAAAAATTACAAAATCTAAAATGAGACAATTTTCTGAAGAAAAAAAAAAAGAATTTTAATGGTAAATCGAAGATGAAAGTAAACAAAACGAAATGTGAAATTGAAGACCAAAAACGGAAGCAAAATCTTGGAAAAACGAGAGACAAAATTGTAGATAAATTATGCATTAAAAAAAAAACCATTCTTCAGCAAATGAATCATTGAATTAATGTACCTGAAGAACTCAATGTCCAACTGATACAAAATGCAGCACCTGTTTATTCATTTCTGTTTTCGCCCTCAATTCTCTACCAAATAAAACTCTCTTTCAATTCTTGTCTTCTACAATAACATCTCAGCACGTTATTTGAATTCTAGTTGAGCCAAAGGGGCGCCAATGATGTTTACGCTCAGCAAAATACAAACAATACGAAACTATCACTGTGCTCGTTGGAGGCAAAACGTTAGTCCTAAACTTTTGTAAGATTCGAATTATTAACCAAAAGATGTTAGAGACGCCGCAGAAATACCAACATTTTCAGGTTTATTGATCAAGAGTTGAGTATTGAACACAAACACTTAAGTTCTAATCAACACAAGTTCGACTTTAGCGGTTCGAAGTTTATATCGTTATTTTATCAACTTTCACTAATGGCGTTTGTGTGTTCGTGTGTTTGCCTACACACACTTATTTTGTGTACGTCTCTGTGTGTTATTAGATTGTGTTTAATGCTGTTTTTATTGCGAAAGGCTGTTAGAACCGTTCTAATTTAATATCACAGAGTTTGATCTTTCGAAATAGAATTCAAGCAGCATCTCAACCAATTCTTATCAAGCGTTTCAAATAAAATGTTTTAAAAAGGTGGGAAGTATGTGCTATAAATACCAGAAAGCAAATGTTCAAATTAGTCATAAAAATTGAAAAAACAAAAAAAATAGTAATTTTCAGAATATAAGACGCACCTAGAATTTGAAAACAAAGTTTTAGAAAAAATACACCGTATTTTTCGAAATATAAGTCTCACCGGTGTATAAGACGCACCCTTTATTTGAAGACAAAGTTTGGGGATAAAAAAAACTAGTCATATTTGAAACATTTCTATTGAAGAAAAATTCAACCTAAATGTAATATATTAACGACACCAATTAGAAGCTTATGAAGCTTTATTAGGCTAAACCAGTTTTAGCGCTGAAGAACGATATGTTTATTGTACTGGAGAGTTACAAACGACAGGGGAGATATGAGTGCAATTATTTTCATACCACACTGGTATTTGAAAAAAAAAATTTATTTATTTCTTCTAAATACAAAAGTGCTGAAAAGGTGAAAATAAGAAACTACCATAAATAAATAAAGTTTTAGATTTTAGTTAAAAACGTCGAAAAATCCTCGGGTGCTTTTACTGTCTCTTGTAAAGGACGTGTCATCCATTTTAACATTTGACCCAATGTTGGGATCCAAGAGAAAGTTATCCTCATATCAATCCATTGCGTCACTGATACCTCGACTCTTCTTAAAGAACTTCGTCACTTCTTGCTTTTAGCCTCATGAATTCTTCAGCCAACTGAGCAAGCATCGGTCATTTTCTTGTCCACTTGGGAGTCGTAGTAAAATCTTCACCCCCCACCATTAGTTCATTCCTGCCTCAGTGAAAGACTTGAAGGCTTGGATAATAGAAAACATCAAAAGAGATTTTGAAGTTGATTTGTTAAATTGTCGTGTTGTGTCTTTAGCTCTTTAGCTTTTTTCTTCGTTTTGTTCCGTTTTTATGAGTTCGAAAGGAATCCCCAATGACGAAAGAAGACTTTTATAATAAACTTACTGAGCGCCTCGACCAATTTTGGAAACCAAGGTAGTGCTCTGCCTCCATCCATTCCTTTTCCATTTTTTTTTCATCAACCTAACTTAGCAGTTAGCACGTTTCACAATGTCCAAAAACAGTGAAAAATGAATATACAGATTTGGCATTTACTGACGCTAATTGTGTTAAGTCCTTTGATTGGTTAAGCACATTGCACATTTTTGAAATCCATGCTATGGTTATAAATAAAACATTCAAATGAAGTCAACTGTGTACACCTATTTAAATCTATTTTACACATGGCGTATATAATAATAATAATAATAATAATAATAATAATAATAATAATAATAAACCGTCTTTATCTAATATCAGATTTAGCAAAAAATACTTTAAACAGGAGGAGTGGAGACTTATAAGTTAATCTTTCGCCCAACTCCCCAGTTTATTTATTTTTCATGACAATAAGAGGAAGTAAAAAAAGAAGAAGAAAAAATACAAAAACAAAACAACATAAAACAGAACAATAAAACACAACAACAACAAATCAGTAAAACAACAGGAGTACTTTTGCCCATTCCCCTAAAAATAGAAAAAAATTGAAATATATACATATACATATACATATCCATTGTGTTGGTAGAAGCCAATAAGAAACTGATACCAACCAAACATGAAAATACTTTAATAATTGTTTATAAAAGCAATACAAAATTGACTACGAATTTAATAGATATGTAAATATTCATAACTTTTGAAATTTCATTGAATTTCTTACATATCAGAACAAGGAAAGACACACTCCTTAGTTTAGTCTTAGCGAAAGACATAAAGATATGTTTATGCATGGTGGAAATCAACTGGTGGCAGTATAAGACCACCTCTAAGACTCATAACTTCCAGACAAACAAGGATGACGTCTTAAATGGCTCACAAGACCAGCAAGGGACCTGCAAGCCATTCTACATTGCGTAAAGGACGTGTCTTCCGTCAACAATCTGATAATTTCGATGCTTATTTTTATGATACCGAGTGAGTCCACTGGATGACATATTTTATGAAAAATGCTGTACGAAAACTCTTTTTGTGTATCATATTGGGAGATGGGGGTGTTTCTGTGTCCATGTTTATGCCTGAGAAGACCTGCCATCAAGAAGCAGACACGCTCATATTCATCACACGAGAGGGATTCTTTCTTGCCCCTCTCAGGAGGAGAGGGGACGTGTTCTATATATCTACCAGCTCGTTTCAGCTCAGCGTAAGCGACTGTTATTCTCAAATTCTTCAACAGCAATCAAATTTCTCCACGCCTCCCCCGCCTGATTCAAGATGTTCCCACGTTCTAGCATCTACATTGAGCTTTTTAATGGTTTCCTCAAAGTGTGTTTGCACGGCTTTCATTGAAATTGCTTGCTTTTCGAGAGCTCACCATACAGTACATGTTTCGGCAGGCGAGTTTTCCCCGAAGCAGACAAGGTGACCAGCTCATCTAAGTTGGTACTTCATTACCATGGACTTAATTTCTCATTATTTTAGCCATCTGTCGTACTCACGTACCCATGAATATGTATATATATATATATATATATATATATGAAGAAATATAGTTTTAAGGTATGCTATATTTATGGGTTAAAGTGCTCAAAATCATAGATAGAGCGTATCTAATATAAAAGTGATCATTGAAGTCAACACTCTGAAGCAACAGTTTCATGCTAAAAGCAATCTCTCTCTCTCTCTCTCTCTCTCTATATATATATATATATATATATATATATATATATATATATATATATATATATTCTGTATGTGTATATATATATATGTATATTTATATAGGAAGTTATTTTCGCTTTTAATAAGTGGGATTCTTTAGACCGAAATAGTGGTTGTAAATATTTCTATGCATAATTAATGATTTTGTTAAACTGTTATAGGGAACACACACACACACACACACACACACATATATATATATATATATATATATATATATATATGATGACTGTGAATCGATTTGGAGTAATGTCATCGTGTTATCTATCTTCAAATATGAGTAGCAAGAATGTAGTTTTTTAGTCCCGCTATGGTTTTACCTTCTCTTGCTCAGATGCGGCAAGGTTCGATGTCATTTACTGTTGTTGCGACATAAATGCCGCATAACATGTAATGACTGACTTTTTCAGTGTGTGACGTGGAGAACAATAGAGGATAGAAAGAAGAAAGAAGGAGAGGGAAAGGAGAGACAGAAAGGAGAATAAAAGAAAGGAGAGAGAGGATACGGATTCAGAGACAAATGAAGGAGAAAGGGGAGAGAATAGAGGTACAGAGAGAAAGAAATGAAAGGGTGAAAAAGAAGAGAGGAGAAGGATATAGAGAGAAAAAAGGAGAAAGAAATAAAAGAGAGAGACAAAAGTGAGATAAAGAGTAAGAAACGAGAGCAGAAAAGTGTTGAAAAAAAGGATGCAAAGCGAAAGAAACTAGAAAGAGATAAAGGAGAGGGAAAATTGATATAGAGAGAAAGAAATGTAAAAATGAAACCGGAGAGAGAAAAGGAAGATAGAGAGAAAGAAACGAAGAGAGAAAGGAAATAGATAGATAAAGAGAGAGAGAGAGAGAGAGAGAAGGAGAATATGTAAAGTGAACTTTTATCAACTAATGATCGTCCTCCATGAAGCAGAAGTATGACTGATCGTCGTCGTATGCCTTTGCACATCGGTCAATGAATCCCGGAAGTCCTTTTCTTGGAAACAAGAATTCAGACAATGTCTGGTGTCATCTGTGAATAAAAATAACCTTGAACAGAAGTTTTTGTTAAACACTTAAGCAACGTAATCCGTGAACGAAAGGGCAAACAAAACTAAATTTTGACTCCGGTGGCTCGATGGGCAAGAAACAAATTTGAACCGATTCTAAATGTTACGTGTTTTTTGCATGAATTGTCAGTAACCCCAAATAATTTTCTGAATCTTCGGTGTTCCATAACTCCTCAAATTAGCTGACTACAAGGACATTAGTAAGAAGCTTATATTGCGACAAACTTTCAAGTGGCGGTCAGCTTATTTGTATTGAGAATTGCCTTTCAAAATTCTAAATACACAGCTATCTCAGCCACGTGGCAGTGTCTTAGGAATCGACCTGAAGGATTGTTGTTCAATATGATTAAGTCATGGACAGATAAACACACACACGTGCACATGCACACACGCATCTGCAAACAAGCATACACGCTAGAAGGTCGCTGGCTCGAGATGTTGAATACCATTTAACTGGCGCGGAAATAAGCCAAGTTTATAGCGTTAGTTTCGAAATATCTTACTTGGATTTGTAGCGACAAATGTTATGAACTAAAATGAAAACCGATTGCCCTTCAAGTGTCTTTCCTTCGTTAACCAACCAACAGAGCCAGTGGTCAGTTCGTTGTTGCTTTGCTTCAAGGGGTCAGTGACGATGTCACGAAATCCTAGAGGCTATGCGAGATCAAAGATGGCACAAGATTCATTCTTGCCATGATTAATGTCGGACCATCGAATAAACTTAGACAACAGAGCGAGTAATATAGCCAACATATTTGATGAACACAACGTGTCCTGTCTCCTGGACATTTTTATTAGATGACAACTTGACCAGTGCAATGGATGATGACCAGGTGGTGAGTGGAGACGGAATATAAATACAAGTAAATGATTTTTGATAGGTCAGTAATTTGAAAGTAATCTATCTCAGTCTGTTCATATCTATCTATCTATCTATCTATCTATCTATCTATTGTCTGTTCATATCTATCTATCTATTGTCTGTTCATATCTATCTATCTATCTATCTATCTATCTATCTATCTATCTATCTATCTATCTATTGTCTGTTCATATCTATCTATCTATCTATCTATCTATCTATCTATCTATCTATCTATCTAGGTATGTTCATATCTATCTATCTCTCTCTCTCTCTCTCTCTCTCTCTCTCTATCTATCTATCTATCTATCTATCTATCTATTTATGTCAGTTTTTCTCTTACCTCAATTTTATTTTCATTTTTTCTTCCTTCCTCCAAAATATCTCTCCTCCTCTTTTCTTTTCCCATGGTTCCATTCTATGAATTCTTATTTTTCCTCTTTTTATCATCATCATCATCATCATCATCATCATCATCATCATCATCATCATCTCTCTCTCTCTCTCTTTCTCTCTCTTTCTCTGTTCTCTTTATTTTCTCTGTTTTTGTAAGCCATGAGCACACAACATAGGAAATGAGCGGGGGGGAGCAGGGGGGTTATGTGTTGTATTTCAAGCAGAGCGCTCTTCTTTTTGACGCCGAGAAAGCAGCGACATTTTGTCCAGCAACATTCACGCGAAAATCCCTCTTGCACGCACGCGTGCGTCAACAACTCTGATTCAAACTCTGGCCACTTCATGTCACACGCCCTTTCTTGGCAAAAGAAAGTACGCATATATCCCCACACACAGTGTGTGTCCTTCCTACACAGTCTCTGTATTAATCTCGTTCTCTCACTCATACACATACAGATTCATACACACACAACCGTGAAGCCCTCACTAAGTCATTTAGAGGCACGATTTCTAATGTTATAAATAATTGCATGTTTACAAATGTAAATTCTTCAGTAAATAGCAAAAGCTGCTATCTTTCAAAAAAGCGTTAAGAATTCATTAATTAGCCAACAGAAAAGTTCACGTTTCTTTCCCAAAAATAAATGTAATGCCATTTTGATCTAATAATATACTTACTTTCGATGTGTTTGCGTAAATGTATAAATCTAACTTAAATAGTCGGTTGAGGGTTGAAAACGCAGTGAATACAGCCCGAGGATTTACAATATGAACATTCAATTTGCTGCATCCAAACAGACTGAAAATACAGTGACAAATACACGTCGAAGTTTCGTACTTATTACAGGGGGGGTCGATATAACAAAGGCGACCGATCGCCGTTACCAAGAATCTGAAGAAAACATTGACGAAGGTATATATATATGTACATATTACAAAAGCCCATACATATATTTATTTAGGTCTAAGCACAAATAGATTCACTATAGTTATCATGCTGCTCAGACGAACAAACGTATTTTATTGCAATATTATTTTAAAGATGTTCTCTCTTTCAAAAGAATTTCAATCGACACAGTATGGATGTGCGTAATACCCCCCACCCCGGCACACTATATATGTGTGTGTGTATAGTCGTTTATAAACAGACTTATACAAATAGGGTGATAGATAGATAGATAGATAGATAGATAGATAGATAGATAGATAGATAGATAGATAGAAAATGAACAAGGTAGAATAAATAGAGGGAAATGAACAGATAGATAGATAGATAGATAGATAGATAGATAGATAGATAGATAGATAGATGCGAGTAGATGCGAGTAGATTTCGAGTAATGCCATCGCTCAACTATGGACAGTGTGGGTGTGGCTTTCTCGTCCTGCAAGATACTTGCACTCTCTTACACAGACTGGGGCGATGTGGGTGCCTCTTTCCGTAGGTGACACTGAACTTTTATATGTCGTTTTAATCCACCAACTGAGGCGCATAGTTTCCGTTGCTACAGTTGGTATGACGTTTGTCTGATAACATAACTGTCAGGGTTTCAATTCTCGGTAGTGGATGCGCATTGCTGATGAGTCCCAAATATAGGACGAAACGGCCGTCCAGTGCTTTCTGCATTCTGTTGAGGTTTCTTCTAGACACGACGAATTACTTAATTATAATTATCTCAAGTCCTCCTAATAATTTCTATCACTTATGTATATATTGAATGTGTTTTTTTTTTCCAGACATGTGGAACACAACATAACAGATCGTGACAGGTGCAGTAATTGGGAGATAAAGAGATGCGGGTCTGTGTATTTCTGTTAAAAAAAATGCAAAACATGTTTGGTGATATACACAACAGGCGTACCTGAAATTTCTGCCATCTGATCAAGTTATCGATTGTACATAAAAGCAAACATATTTGCAAATGCATGTTAAATTCCAAATGTCAGAAGTCATACATGAATATTCGTAAATAGAAGAACATCAAATGCAATCTGCAAATTTATACAAATATGTTCTGTTTTTTTAGTTCAGAGGGATTCGTAAATGAATCATGAAGGTTCATCTATAATCATATGTGCCGGGATATCCATGTTGAATACACACATACACACACACATACATAAATAAATAAATAAAGTAAAATAAATAGAAAAAATAAGTAAAATAAATTAAACCAAGTAATAAATAAATTAACAAACCATGCACACATTAACACAAGTAAATGTAATAATAACAAACAACAATATAATAATAAATAATAAATAAAAAAAAGTTAACAAACAACACTAAAATTAGGCAGAAAATTGCATCCGAATCCACAATTATTCCCACCCAAAAGATCCTAGAATAATTTGAAACATAACTGCTATCGTATACCACAATACAAAAGATTAGCCATAATGCATAACTGACCTGTATATATATATATATCGCAATCTCCAAGTGTTCTGAGATAAGGAATGGCAGATGACGATGTTTAAGGTAACTGTTGATAACTATCTCACTCCATACCCCCCGTAAAAAAAAAAACTAGCAAAATCTGTAAAACCAATTGTTAACCATGATGGATTCCAATCTATCTATCTATCTATCTATCTATCTATCTATCTATCTATCTATCTATCTATCTATCTGCCTGCTTAACCAACGATTAGAGTCATACGTATCCATAACAAAACATTAAAGGTCGATGTTACTTTAATGGTTGGATTCATTGAAACAATTTCTATTTTACATTCTGCACACCGTTGAGTATCGCGAATGCATAAGCATTACCTAGTAACATGTGAAGAAATGAATTTAATTCAAACGAAAACTTGCATGTATGGACACATATACATGTATTTGTTTTATATATATATATATATATATATATATATATATGTGTGTGTGTGTGTGTGTGTGTGTATGTGTGTGTGTGTGTGTGTGTGTATCGACATTGATAGCAATTGCACTTTTGTAATCGCAAGGTTTAATGCTATCCTTTCTCCCCACTATATATTTATGCGTGTGTATGTGTTTGTGTGTGTACATATGTCTGTATATATCTATATCTATATATCTATATCTATGTATCTTATATATATATATATATATATATATATATATATATATATATATATATATATATATAGGAATGCGAGTATATATATATATATATATATAAATATATATATATATATATATATATATATATATACACACACACATCGCTTCGGTTTCTGTGCGGATGTCTACGTATACATATTCAGATATCAGAAAATTTTCGCCTACGAATTATTCATATTATCATATTATATATATATATATATATATATATATATATATATATATATATATATATATATATATATATATATATATACAGGGAGGTAGATTGAGAGATATGCAGACACATGTACACGCATATTTACATGACAGATGTAAATATAATGACGGGTACGTGAGGACCTGAATCAATTTTGTTTATTATTGTGTAGAAATGTGTGCGTGTGTGTGAGTTACTATGCACGTGTTAAATTATACTTAGTTTCTATATATATATATATATATATATATATATATATATATATATATATATATATATATATATGATTTTATATCTGTATTGACTGCATTGTGTACATCTGCTGAGTAATTGCA